GTTTTAGACATTTGCAACAACATGCAATGTTAATGGTGGTCTCTGCAAAAATGCTTCAGCTGTACTTAATAAAAAGAAAAATTAGCCTGTTTAGCAATCCTTGCAAATCCTGGTTTGTTATCAGTAAATGTTTGGTATTTATACCTATCGTATATACTCGAGTATAAGCTGAGTTTTTCAGCCCTTTTTTAGACTGAAAAAGCCCCCCTCAGTTTATACTCGAGTCAAAGTTATTTATTATTTAACTCTGTTATTGTTATTTTTATTACATTTATTATTTTACTCTATTTATTATTCTTATTACATGTATTACATTATTTTATCATTATTGTTATTATATTTCCATTAATTTACTCTATTATTAATATTGTTATTGTTGTTATTATTACATAGATGTTACTATTACATTTCCATTATTTTACTTCATTATTATTATTATTATTATTATTATTGCATGAATTATTTTACTCTCTTTATTATTATTGGAAGGATACGTAAGCACAATTACACTGAAGAAGATTAGAATAATGGTTTAATCAGAGTGGGACAGTCTTATCTTTAACTACAGTTTTATGTAAATTTTCAAAAACATTTAACTTACTGATGCCTCAATTAATGTAATTTTTTGGTATCTATTTTTATTTTTATTTTTGGAATTTACCAGTTGCTTCTTCATTTCCCACCCTCAGCTTATACTCAAGTCAATGCGCTTTCCCAGTTTTTTGTGGTAAAATTAGGTGCCTTGGGTTATATTCAGTTCGGCTTATACTCGAGTATATACGGTATTTTATACACCTAAATACCAGTAGTCATGCAAAAATGTATTGGGCCAAAAAGGGTGTTCTGTCACACCCAGACCCTATAAAAATAAAACTAACATGTGCTTCTCTCTTTGTCTGGGCGGACCGCGGGGGTCTTTCTTTAGAAGCTTGAGATTCCCAGCAACTGAGGCTACTACAGGTTTTGAGCATCAAAACAGAATATTTATTTCTCAAAGTCCTTGCAGACTTGGCACAGCTTATCAAAGTTACAAACAAAACAGTCAACTGGTGAAACCATAGAGATGATCTTTCTCTCCTTTTCCTTCAGTTACTGAGGTGCCTTCATCCAAATGGTAGGAAAAAATCCTGAGATCTTTTTATCCCAACCCTGAGCCACTATCTTTTAGAAAGCGTAGGCCTTCCCTATTCCAGCCCAAGGTCAGTTTTGGAGATGAAGCAAATAGTGCTCAATAACTATTTCTCAATAACTCAATATCTATCTACTAGCGGTACCCTGCCACGCGTTGCTGTGGTCCAGTCTGGTGATCTGGAAAACAAAGTAATGAGAAAGTGTTGGTTTCTAATATATATAATGTCTTTCTGCTTGTGGATAAACGGTATTTCTTGCTGTTTCTTTGCCAGTGTTGATGTGGAGATTGTCTGGTTTGCCTACTCTGGAACATGCCACATATCATTGTCCTTCTTTAGAGGTCCCTTTCAAATCTTTGATACTGCATCTGTCATATACATATTTGTGTGTCTGTGAATGGCTGGATGGCCATTCACAGACACACAAATGGCCATGTTTCCTTGCCCTGGTGAAGGGAGTTGGACTCGATGGCCTTAAGGCAGCATTTCTCAACCTGGGAAGTCAAGACCCGGGGGAGGGGGTCCACCGGGGGAGGGGGGGTCAGAAGGGTCACCAAAGACCACCAAAAAACACAGTATTTTCTGTTGGTCATGAGGGTTCTGTGTGGGAAGTTTGCCCTGATTCTGTCATTGGTGGGGTTCAGAATGCACCTTGATTTAGGGGAACTATAAATCCCAGTAACTACAACTCCCAACTCCATCTGTGTTTATATTTGGGTATATTGAGTATTCGTGCCAAGTTTGGTCCAGATCCATCATTGTTTGAATCCACAGTTCTCTCTAGATGTAGGTGAACTACAACTCCAAAACTCAAGGTCAATACCCATCAAACCCTTGTAGTGTTTTCTGTTGGTCGAGGAGTCCTGTGTGCCAAGTTTGGTTTAATTCCATCGTTGGTGGAGTTCAGAATGCTCTTTGATTATAGGTGAACTATAAATCCTAGCAACTCCCAAATGACAAAATCATAATTTTTGAGTGATGGTCACTCCTTGTGTTGTGAGACATTTTGTTGCCAAATTTGGTATGATTTCGTTCATGGGTTCTTTTGTTTTTAAGGTACTCATTATGCACAGAGCATTTATATATATAGATAGATAACTCAATTGCTGAATCACTATCTATAGTATCTCAATCACTAAATTTATCTTTCTATCTATTTCTCAATCAGCTTCTCTATCTAAATAACTCAATCTCAATCGTTCTTACAATGGTTTTCTCAGAGTACCTGCCTGACCAACAGCACATCTGAAGCTTTCTTCTCTACTGAAGGAGGCAGGGAAGATTCCAAAATGGAGATCTCAACCCAGGAAAAAAGGCATTCCTTAGACCCAAAGAGATACTATTCTAAACCAATAACTGCAGAGGGCCTGCAGTCTGGCTTTCCACACTCTGATACTGTTTAACTTCCAGGGTACTGCTGGGTCTGTAGCAACCCTGGGGAAATGCAAAAGAACACTATCCCATGCAGCTAAAAGGTAATGCAAACTATACTCCTGGAAGACGGAACAAGGGGTCATGAATAGAAAAAGGTAAAAAATCCCTGGTCTATGGCAACTATGTGGTGCCTGGATAGGGCAAGGTGCGGTTGACACCAACCAAGAATTGCCTCCAAGCTGTCACCATTAGCAAATCCATTTCAAATCATGGTTTGCAGTGGGATGTGAGCGGCTTCGCTCTAGCAGTGATTCATTCATTCTGTGGCAGGAAGGGCTCCCCTAAGGATGCTGAGAATGGATTGTTATGGATGTCTAAAGAGTGGTTTTTACAGAGCTTCTTTTACGGCCGGCCTGGAAAGCACTGCGTTGCATAAATAAAAGACTTTTACTGCCTGCAGTGGTTGCGACAGCTTTGTAGTTCTAAGAAAATAAATAATACTTTGCAATTATTAGAGAGCGCCTCCTCTTCCAAGAACCACAGAGCTCTTTACACAAACTAATGAGGCCCCAAAACATCTCAGAGAGGGCTAGACATACCATAACACCCGTTCCCTGAGGCTCAAAGAGAACCATGCAGACAGAGAAATTCCAGTGCAGACGAATGCCTACGGGGCTAAACCGAGCGCCCGAATCCATTTTCAAAGAGCCTGGAAACCCAACGGTGAACCTCTTAATTCTGTGACTGGAATAAATTTAAGTCTGCCCAGCAGATTTGCATATATTGAATTAATATTCCCTCTCTCTCTTTCTACCCCTTAATCTTTCCTTGGTAGATTGTCATTGTGGAGACTCGGAGAGATTGGCATGGAAAGTTGGAAGTATAAAAAATTGTATGGGACGCGAGCCAAAGCACAGGGAGGGGATTGGAGAGTTATTACGTCAAAGCAGCCAGTACATTTGGGAGGCACAAATAGTGACACCAAACCACTACAGTACTGGCAACTGTTACTTAGTCTTAACAGAAGAATTTACTTTCCCCTCATGTTAACATTCTGCCTCATTGCCTTCTTCTGGAACCACTTTGTCAGAGCTTGGGTAGACTCACAGGACAGTATCTCTCGAGTAGGGCTGCCGTTGTGCATTTTGCATTAAAAGGCCACAAGGGATCTTTTATGTCTCTCCTTTCCCTGTCATCTTAGGCAACACTAATTTTAATCACAGGTATTACTCTGTTAGTGAAATAGATGTGTTCCAGGCCAGTGCTTCTTTAACAAAAAATGGTACCAGAGGCAGAAACGACATGGAAAGCAGTATCAGCTGAAAAGATCTACTGCAAATACCTGAAGATGTCAGTACAAAGAATGAATTGTTTTCCTAGTTCCAACAGACCTCAATACCTCTGAGGATGCTTGCCATAGATGCAGGCGAAACGTCAGGAGAAAAATTGCCTCCAGAACATGGCCATATAGCCCGGAAAAACCTACAACAACCCATGGATTCCGGCCATGAAAGCCTTCGACAATACAATGAATTGTTGTAGTTACCTATCATCGAATCATTGAGTTGGGAGAGACCTGGTGGGCCCTCCAGGCCAACCCCCTGCCAAGAAATTATATTGAAAGCACCCCTGACAGATGGCCATCCAGCCTCTGTTTAAAAGCCTCCAAAGAAGGAGCCTCCACCACACTCCGGGGCAGAGAGTTCCACTGCTGAACAGCTCTCACAGTTAGGAAGTTCTTCCTAATGTTCAGGTGGAATCTCCTTTCCTGTAGTTTGAAGCCATTGCTCCATTGCATCCTAGTCTCCAGAGCATGATATGATTGGTGTGATATCTTAATCAACAATTTGTTGTTTTGTTCTTATGCTTTTGAATCCTCTTTGTAATTACCCCCTTCTTTAATTTCAGCATGCTAGTTTCGGAATGTTTTGTAATAGATATTGTGCCACAGACAAATAAGTTGTATTGACTAATAGTGCGCACAGGTCAAATGAAACAACCAGGTTGCATAGATGAACAAAAGCATGTTTAAGCTTCTTGAGAAAATTGGACTCTTCTTTGCAAATACAACCAGGAGTCAAACAATGATGGATCTGGATCAAACTTGGCATGAATCCTCAGTATGCCCAAATGTGAACAGTGGTGGAGTTTGGGGGAAATAGACCTTGACATTTGGGAGTTGTAGTTGCTGGGATTTGATCTCCTACAATCAAAGAACATTCTGAACTCCACCAATGATAGAATTGGGCCAAACTTCCCACACAGGACCCCCCATGACAAATAGAAAATACTGTGTTTTTAGTTGGTCTTTGGTGACTCCTTTGACCCCTCCTTGCGACCCCCCAGGGGTCCCAACCCCCAGGTTGAGGAACTCTGATCTAAGGCAATATTTTGGTTGGTTATGAGTGTGTGGGAGCCACTTGTTCCATATATTAAGGCATATGTTCTGTTTCTCCTCTTTCAAATGAATAATTTATTTTTATTTTTCTACACCAGGGCTATCAGCCGATGCCACATGAAGCTGAAATTGCACACACCAAAAAATTATTCAGGCGAAGAAGGAATGACCGGAGGTAGGAGAAAGACATACCCACCCCCACCCCAATTATAAATGAGTAATTGTGTGTGTATACATGTTCATGCTTGTTTATGTTTTTCATGATCTAAACCAAAATTGAAATGCAACCTCATATGCCAGTTTTATACTATGGAATTATTCGGATTGCTTAAATACGCACTGTAGGGAGTAACTGATAAAATAAGAATATTTTCACTTGCTAGTAAAAACAGAGCAAGAAGGGAGCAACTCTAACCCTTCTGGGAAGAAAATTGCACAGTCTGGGATCAGCCACCAAATGATATCTGAGAAGGTGATGGGACAGAAAGAAGCTTCTCTCCTGAAGATCTTAGAGATCAAACAAGCTCATATAGGAAGATACGAACCTTCAGATAGCCTAGGCATTAGCCATACTGGGCTTCCTGATGTGATTTCTGATGTATTTTTTCCACACTGTGGCTAAGCCTCCACATTTTGAATCAGCTGAAGTACAATATGACCCCTATGGTTTTACTTATCCGCACTAAAAAAAATATCCCTCACAAAATGTATCTAGGTCTTGCAGTACAATTCCGTGGTATGTCAATATATAGGGTTTAATATTATCCATGTTTTTGGGTATTCCTGTGGGTTGAGAGTTTGAATACAGAAACTGTACTATAATGCACACTGCCATCTAAAGAGAAGAGGTGGCTGAATACCATTAAGTACTGAATGATCCACATGAGCTCCTAATAAATAGCCCTGAGCCGTTTGCAGTAAGATCATGATATATTAAATTCGTAGAAGTCTTGCCTAAAAAGTTGCTGAGCTAGATGAAATTGTGATGTACCTGGTAGTACACGCCTTAGTCATATCCAGATTAGATTACTGTAATGCGCTGTACATGGGGCTGCCCCAGAAGAGCATTCGGAAACTTCAACTGGTTCAAAGGTCAGCAGCTACACTGCTTACGGGGACAGTATATATGTAAATAACTGAAGTTTAGTTTGGTGATCCCTCGTTGTCCAAGTATGATGGCCTTCCAAGTATAGTGTGGTGGTGTATACATAGGTGATTGTAGAGCCCTATTCTTGACCTTGGTTTCCAAGTGGAAGGTGGTTCCTGTCAGGGTTGGTTTGATGTGTCTTCCTCTTGGCACGTTTCTCCCTTTTGCCCTCCATTTGTGACTCTTCAAATTCCACAGCACAGTTGGTGACAGCTGACCTCCAGTTAGAACGCTCAAGGGCCAGGGGTTTCCAGTTCTCAGTGTCTATTGTACAGGTTTTAAGGTTGGCTTTAAGCCCACCTTTAAATCTCTTTTCCTGTCTACCAACATTACATTTCCCGTTCTTGAGCTCAGAGTATAGTAACTGCTTTGGGAGACAGTCATTGGGCATTTGGACAGTCCAGCGGAGTTGATGGCATGGGAGTGTGTCTTCACTGTTGGTGGTCTTTGCTTCTTCCAGTACACTGACATTTGTCCGTCTGTCTTCCCAAGAGATTTGGAGGAAAGAACTACTCCACTCCTAAAGGAGCTACACAGTTTGTTTCCGGGCACAATTCAAGATGCTGGCTTTAGCCTATAAGGCCCTTAACGTTTCGGGCCCAGCATAATTGAGGGACTGCATCTCCTCCTACCAGCCCACACGAGCCCTTAGATCAGTGGTTCTCAACCTGGGGTCCCCAGATGTTTTTGACCTTCAAATCTCAGAAATCCTAACTGCTGGTAAACTGGCTGGGATTTCTGGGAGTTGTAGGCCAAAAACATCTGGGGCTCCAGGTTGAGAACTACTGCCTTAGATCATCAGGAGACGTCCTTCTCTCAGTCCCACCGCCATCACAAGTAGGATTGGTGGGAACGAGAGAGAGGGCCTTCTCGGTGGTGGCCCTGTGGCTCTGGAACTCCCTCCTCAGAGACATTCAATTGATCTCCTTTCTACTGACCTTCCGCACACAGGTTAAAATCTTTCTGTGGAAGCATGCCTTTCCCAATAACCCATAAAAGGAAATGACCAGGTTGCTACGGATAAGGCATATCAATGAAGATGATTTCAGACTTGACAATGTTTGCATGGCCTAAAGAAGCAGAGCTCTAGGATTTTTAGTTTAATTTTTTATGGATGACCCCAGGGAATTTAAGTGGAACATGTTGTATTCATTAATCTTGTTGCTCAGAGTTTATGTAATGCGTTGTGTGCTATTTGTTTTATTTTTGCTTTTGTGTCATGTAATTTCTGTTGTTTTCATAGAATCATAGAATCAAAGAGTTGGAAGAGACCTCATGGGCCATCCAGTCCAACCCCCTGCCAAGAAGCAGGAATATTGCATTCAAATCACCCCTGACAGATGGCCATCCAGCCTCTGTTTAAAAGCTTCCAAAGAAGGAGCCTCCACCACACTCCGGGGCAGAGAGTTCCACTGCTGAACGGCTCTCACAGTCAGGAAGTTCTTCCTCATGTTCAGATGGAATCTCCTTTCTTGTAGTTTGAAGCCATTGTTCCGCGTCCTAGTCTCTAGGAAAGCAGAAAACAAGCTTGCTCCCTCCTCCCTGTGACTTCCTCTCACATATTTATACATGGCTATCATATCTCCTCTCAGCCTTCTCTTCTTCAGGCTAAACATGCCCAGCTCCTTAAGCCGCTCCTCATAGGGCTTGTTCTCCAGACCCTTGATCATTTTAGTCGCCCTCCTCTGGACACATTCCAGCTTGTAAATATCTCTCTTGAATTGTGGTGCCCAGAATTGGACACAATATTCCAGGTGTGGTCTAACCAAAGCAGAATAGAGGGGTAGCATTACTTCCCTGGACCTAGACACTATGCTCCTATTGATGCACTCCAAAATCCCATTGGCTTTTTTTTGCCGCCACATCACATTGTTGGCTCATGTTTAACTTGTTGTCCACGAGGACCCCAAGATCTTTTTCACACGTACTGCTCTTGAGCCAGGCATTGTCCCCCATTCTGTATCTTTGCATTTCGTTTTCCCTACCAAAGTGGAGTATCTTGCATTTGTCACTGTTAAACTTCATTTTGTTTTAACCATTGTTTGCCGCTTTAGGTCCCACCCATGGGAGAAAAATGGGATAAACATAAATAAACAAATAAATAAAATAATACCTTAGCAAAGATACATAATGGGGGACAATCGAGAGCAGTACGTGTGAAAAAGATCTTGGAGTCCTCATGGACAACAAGTTAAACATGAGCCAACAATGTGATGTGGCGGCAAAAAAGTCAATGGGATTTTGGCCTGCATCAATAGGAGCATAGTGTCTAGATCTAGGGAAATAATGCTACCCCTCTATTCTGTCTTGGTTAGACCACACCTGAATATTGTGTCCAATTCTGGGCACCAGAATTCAAGAGAGATATTGACAAGCTGGAATGTGTCCAGAGGAGGGTGACTAAAATGATCAAGGGTCTGGGGAACAATCCCTATAAGGAGCGGCTTAAGGAGCTGGGCATGTTTAGCCTGAAGAAGAGAAGGATGAGAGGAGATATGATAGCCATGTATAAATATGTGAGAGGAAGCCACAGGGAGGAGGGAGCAAGCTTGTTTTCTGCTTCCCTGGAGACTAGGACACGGAACAATGGCTTCAAACTACAAGAGAGGAGATTCCATCTGAACATGAGGAAGAACTTCCTGACTGTGAGAGCCATTCAGCAGTGGAACTCTCTGCCCCGGAGTGTGGTGGAGGCTCCTTCTTTGGAAGCTTTTAAACAGAGGCTGGATGGCCATCTGTCAGGGGTGATTTGAATGCAATATTCCTGCTTCTTGGCAGGGGGTTGGACTGGATGGCACATGAGGTCTCTTCCAACTCTATGATTCTGTGATTCTATAGTCCCATTCCCATAAATAGCATAGGCACTATTGCAAGCTGGAATAAAAGAGACAATTGTGGCAGTTTGTTGCTTGTCATGACTTCCATGAGCTTGATCCATGTATAAAAAGAAAAGGACCAAGTGGATCATAGGATGTTAATGTTCAGTCGCAGGAACGAACAGGGCATAGGGTTACAACCTGTGTTGGATGGGGTTACACTCCTCCTGAAGACACAGGTTCGTAGCTTGGGTGTGATCCTGGATTCATCGTTGAGCCTGGAACCCCAGGTTTCGGCAGTGACCAGGGGAGCATTTGCACAGTTAAAGCTTAGGCGGCAGCTGCTCCAATACCTTGGGAGGTCTGACTTGGCCACGGTAGTCCACGCTCTGATTACATCCTGTATAGACTACTGCAACACACTCTACGTGGGGTTACCTTTGAAGACTGTTTGGAAGTTTCAAATGGTCCAATGGATGGCAGCCAAGTTGCTAAAGGGAGTGGCGCTCAGGGAGCATACAACTCCTCTGCTGCACCAGCTCCACTAGCTGCCAGTTTGCTGTCAGGCACAATTCAAAGGGCTGGCTTCAGACTATAAAGCCCTAAACCAGCGGTTCTCAACCTGGGGGTCGCGACCCCTCAGGGGGTCGTTTGGCCATTTTCTGGGGGTCGCGAAGCCGCATTGGCTGGCCACGCCCCCTCCAAAATGGCGGCCGACCCCCTGCGCCACTGGCATTCCCCCGCGCGAAGCCATCTGCCTGTCCCTCATCTCCTTCTGATGGCAGAAGGAGGCGAGGGACGGGCGAGCGGCTCCGCGGGCGGCTAGGCCACACGCGAAGCCATCTGCCTGTCCCTTGCTTCCTTCTGATGGCAGAAGGAGGTGAGGGATGGGTGAGTGGCTCCTTGGGCGCCCCTCGCCTGCTCTGCTCTCCCGCCGGCCGGTGGGGGGGCGGAGCAGGCGAGGGCCTTTGGAGCAAGGCCTTCTCCAGGTGCCCTTGCCTGCTCCGCTCTCCCTGGGTGGCGGGGGGGGGCGGAGCAGGCGAGGGCCTTGGGAGCAAGGCCTTCTCCAGGCGCCCTCGGCTGCTCCGCTCTCCCGCCAGCCGGCGGGGGGGCGGAGCAGGCGAGGGCCTTTGGAGTAAGGCCTTCTCCAGGCGCCCTTGCCTGCTCCGCTCTCCCGCCCGCCGGCGGGGGGGCGGAGCAGGCGAGGGCCTT